AGAGTGGTCTTATTTTTGCCTTGAACCATTACATTCAGAGCGGCTTTATCTGATGTTGATGTCCTGTGAAATTGCTTATGTTCAACAGAAGAACAACACCTGTGAGGCCAGGCTAGCTCCTGGAAACACCAAAGCCTGACAGTTTCAGGCCAGTTCCTGGCTATCAGCAGTTGCTTTTTCTCTTCCTCAATCCCCCTCTTTGGTCAAGGGCAGGTGAAGTCAGGCCACAGAATCCATGACATGCAGATTTTCACCACCGTCAAGACCAGGAGGAAGTTCAGGAAGCATGGTCTGCAGTTGGGCTAGAGCTAATCCCTCCTCCTGTTGCAGGATGAGTAGTTGAGACCTTTGACCTGACAATGGGTACAGAGTAGCATTTCAGATTTTGTACAGTGTATGTCAACCAACTGTACCACAGGCCATTATTGGAAACAAAAGGATGATGAATCTTATGAAGGGTCTTAATGACAGGATCCCAGATTATAAAACCCATGTGAAGAAACATGTCCCAGAATCCAGATGGGTTTTTGTTTGTCCTAATATTTGCTGTTTTGCTTGCCCAGTAACATGTATTAACACAAAGAAATGTTTGTGATAGTATCAACTCCTCCTTGACTAGCTGACAGAAAATCATGGTGTTCAATGGGCCTCAAGATTCCTAGGTCCTGTCATAACAATCTCATCAGGATTATGTCACTGGCAGGTGGGACACACACTGGAAACATCCTCAGTAATATCCTTAAATTACCCTATCAACGTTGGTTCAACACTTGCCAGTTCTTCTTTGCTATTGTGGGTAATATCACAAAATAGTTCTGTTAATTTCCATTTATATTATGGCCACCTCCTTCCATAATAGCAAAGCATGTCAAGATTCTTTAATTGTCAATTCTACAGGGGTTCCTGTAGTAATCAGGTGATATTTTTGTTGTTGTTTCTAAAGCATTGCAAAGTCATTCACTACCCCCACATCAAATACCTTCCTGTTGTCTCAATATAAATATTTACTTTTGTAGCTTGGCAGATCTGGGAGGGAACAATTAATTTAGCCCAACTAAATGAATACAATTTCTTAGAAAAGCTTTGACTATGATAATATAGCCTAAAAAGCCTTTTTTTTTTTTTAGTGGAGTCTGTCGCCCAGGCTGTAGTGCAGTGCTACAATCACAGCTAGCTGCAGCCTTGAACTCCCAGGCTGAAGCACTCTTCCCATCTCAGTCTCCTGAGCAGCTGGGACTACAGGCATGCGCCACCACACCAAGCTAAGTTAAAAACTTTTTTTTTTTTTTTTTTTTTTTTTTTTGAGACGGAGTTTCGCTCTTGTTACCCAGGCTGGAGTGCAATGGCGCGATCTCGGCTCACCGCAATCTCCGCCTCCTGGGTTCAGGCAATTCTCCTGCCTCAGCCTCCCAAGCAGCTGGGATTACAAGCACGCACCACCATGCCCAGCTAATTTTTTGTAATTTTAGTAGAGACGGGGTTTCACCATGTTGACCAAGATGGTCTCGATCTGTTGACCTCGTGATCCACCCGCCTCGGCCTCCCAAAGTGCTGGGATTATAGGCGTGAGCCACCGCGCCCGGCCGTTAAAAACTTTTTGTTCGTTTTAGACGTGGAGTCTCTCTATGTTGCCCAGGCTGGTCTCAAACTCCTGGCCTCAAGCTATCTCCCTGCCTCAGTCTCCCAAGTTGCTGGGGTTACAGGCATGAGCCATCATGCCTGACTATACTTGACAATTTTTAGTTTCACTTTTTAAGTGCTAATAATCTACAACCACAATTAAATCAGTTATTTAAGGGAATCTTGTGCAGGGTATGGATAGTTCCCTATGAAGGATAAGCAGTTATGGGCTGTTGCTTTTTTCAGTAAAGGAAGAAAGTGGCTGGTTTTAGAGTGTTGCAATATAGGCCAGCAACAATAAAGCAAAGCAACAATAATTCATGAGAGACTAGGCAAACAGCTGAAAAGTGCCGAGAGTTTATTGTCAGTAGAAGACTGTGTACAGCACACCATGGGAAGCCATCAAGTTTAGTGGGAATCCTGGAACTAAATCAACTGAAGTTTTTGCTTTTGTTGCTGCTGCCATAGTTCTCAGATGAGGTGAATATGTCTTGGCTATTGGATCACGATCCTTCTATCTTGGCATCCCAAAGCGCTAGGATTACAGGAATGGGAGTGGGGCAGGGGAGGGGGGCACAATTCCCTGCTGTTTATATTATCTTTAAAGTGATCAACAAATTTTCTTTTTCTCAGATAATAAATAAAACTAGAGAACAGGAAATAAATTGTTTTTCTTCTTGAGCACATTTCATGTTTTTTTTTTTTTAACAATTTTGAGGCAAAAAATAATATCCAAATACATTTTCATAGTTTGTTAATTGATTACCATTCTAACACATTAAGAATTAAGGTAAGAATTTTAGTGACCAGTGTTTTGTATCTGACTCTTATTTTAGAATTTCCAGTCTTCCAAGGATTCCTTATTAATTATTTACCTCAGGTCTTAATTGAGGTAAGAATTTTAGTGACCAGTGTTTTGTATCTGACTCTTATTTTAGAATTTCCAGTCTTCCAAGGATTCCTTATTAATTATTTACCTCAGGTCTTAATTGAGAGAAAAATTTTGATGTAGAAAAGCAGATTTTGATAGATATACATGAAGAGTGGCAAATGGTTCAGACAGTAATTTGGACCCTTGAAAATTTTAACAAGCTGTATGATAAGAAAAAGCCAGCACTTATTAATCCTCAAAGTATGGAAAGGAAGGAAGGGATATTACCTATGTTAAACAAAACTATCTTATTTTGAGAAAAACAAGACAATCTCCTCATAGAGATTTCTTAGCTTTCTAAGGTACCTCCCAAAGAAGCAATCTGTTCATGTCAAAAGCTCCCTAAAATGGCCTGTGCGACTCCAGATTGTCCTTGGTGAAATGGTGCCAGTTAGATAATTGGCATACAAGTTAATATTCTTATGAGGAAAAAAATGAAGAAAACAGGCATTTGGGCTGAAACAGGTTCAATTTTAGATTGAGGAGAACCTAAGAGAATTGCAGTGGTCCTTAAGGGTAGTGTTTGGGTAACTTGTATTGTTGGGCTTGACCAAAGGCCACCAGATCCCAGGCAAAACCTCCTGAAAGAAGGCAGGTGACAATAAACAAAGCAATATTCAGAGACACAAAGTCAAGACTGAGGAATACACCCTTATAAGGTTTTGAAATGATGATATGAGGCAAAGGAATGCCAATCTGAAGAAACTTTCTAAACTACACAGTCACTATGATAAGCTCTCGGATCAATTTATCAGGCTTGGCTGGCTGACTTTAAGGAGGCCTCCATGAGCCCTGCCTCCTGGTGGTCACAACTTTGTGTAATTCCTCCCTTCCTTGAGTGTAGGTAGGAACTGTGACTTGTTCTTAATAAATGGAATGCAAAAAAGGTGATGTGAGATACATGATTGCATTTATGTGATGACCTAAGAGTGTAGTGCCCATCTTGCTAGTCTCTCTCCAATGCTGGTTTTGAAGAAGCAACTTGCCATGAATCCTACATGTAGGGGTCTGACCCAGCAATGGATGAACAAATTCACTCAAACACAAATCTCCAGCGAGAGAGTGGGCTAGGGCCATCTGTGGCCACTCACTGACACTCCTGAGAGAGATAGCAGCCACAGTCCAACCACGCATTTATTCAGTATAGATTTAACAACAGAGGCTCTGAGTCAACACACTTGTGAATACTGGTTAAAGGCCAGGTTCTGAGGCCTAAAGTAAACACCTTTTGCAGGTAATAAACTTCTGCCAACCCCCAAGTAGGAGGCAGTGAAGTGCAGATGGGCAAAGGTTGGTCTTAGGACAAGCCATTTAGATAAATTCCTTTGCGTTCTCCTTTTAACTGCCCTATGCTTCAAGTCTCAAGATAAAACAACTAGCTGCCTTCCACCCATTCTTTCCTGGTTTTACAAAACCTCCCGGTCTTCCAAGAAGGTTTGTGATTATTCTATAATGTTTATAGTTTTGCCAGCAACCCTGATCAATCCCCCATACCTACAGCAATAAGGAAAGAAATTCTGCCAACAACCCGAGAGTGCTTGGGAGTAGATCCTTTCCGTGTCAAGGATATGATATGCACCTGGCTTGGGCAGACATGTTTTCCAGCACTGAGATCCTAAGCAGACTACCCAGCTAAAGCCACGCCCAGACTTCTGACCCAGACATTGTGAGACAGTAAGTGTGTGTTGTTTTAAGCAGCTAAATTTGTGGTAATTTGTTCTGCAGCAATAGAAAACTAATGCCACTGGCCTATGCCCGTATTCTCACAAAAGACTTTCCTTCTTGTAGACAATTTCATTTCTAAATACTTAACGTTTAGATCCCCTCTTCTAGCTATGGGCTGTTGAGGTTAAAATGTTACTCAACCTTTCTTACTGTTTGAGTAAAAATTGACCATGGTATTTTCCCCAATTTACATGATGTTAATATTAGTACAGTAAGGCTAGGCAAAGTGGCTCATACCTTTATTCCCAGCACTTTGGGAAGCTGAGGCAGGAGAATCATTTGAGATTAGGAGTGCTAGATCAGCATGGGCAACACAGCAAGACCTTGCCTCTACAAAAAAAAATTTTTAAGTACTGCCTGGAAGTGGTGGCATGCACCTGTAGTCCTAGCTATTCAGGAGCCTTAGGGGGGAGTATCACTTGGGCCTAAGGTTACAGTGAGCTGTGATCACACTGACGCCCTCCAGCCTGGATGACAGAGTGAGACCCTGTCTCCAAAGGGAAAAAAAATAAGCACAGCAAAAGAGATGGCACTAAATTAGCAGAGGCTACTTTTATTTACACAGACGACTTCAAACCCACACAGGCAAGGACACCGTATGTTGTGGCATACAGGTTTCTTTCCAACTAGACTGCGCTCTTAGAAGTTAATGTCCTTTGGCTTTATATCCCCTCCAGGCCTTATACACGCTGGATATTCAGTAACTATGGAATTAAAACCACAATTGCCTTTAAGCTTATTTATTAATAGATCTGGTTTCACTGCGAGTGCTACTTCCATTTTAATGCAATGATCAAAACCATTAAGATCTATGACAGGATGGATATTGGGACAATAAGCATGACAATGTCATTGTTGCCAAGCCAAATTTTATTAAGAGGCAAAGGAAAGCAAAGGGTGACTAGAATGCAGAGCTACTTTCAACATCTTCTTCAATCAGCTGTCACAAGATTTCCCACTATTAAACCTCCCTTAAAATTCTTACTTCTCCCCCACCTCCAGGTATCTGAAATAAACAAAAAAAGGAAATAAAATAATTCTGTCTGAGAGATTTCTGCCTCCTTCTTTTTTCTTTTCAATAGCAACCTCAACTGTTGACAGAGGTTCCTTAGGATTCAAAGAATAATTTTGAAGCTGAAAACAGAATAGTCTGTTTTTGAATAAATCCTAATATATTTTCATTTCATACCCTTGTTCCATGAGGAAAAAATTTACATAGAGATGAATATGTTTTGTTCAGGCAGTGTGCAATAATAAAGTTCAGGCCAAATTAGATTTAGCATTAGAAAATACATGCTGGTTTTAGTATTAAATTTAGGGATAAAATGAACCCATATTCACATGTATCTACAAGTACATAGACATTAAAGCACAAAACAGATAATCTAGCTGGCATCCAGTGTTTCTCAACTTTGGCTGAATCTCTGTTCCCCAGAACAGACTATAAGTTCCAAAAGGTGGGGACCATGTTTTGGTCAGCTTTGCATTTCTCCAACACATAGCACAGTGTTCACACAAAGAGTCACTCACAGAAATTGTTGAATTCACTTAAAAAAACAATTTTGGCTGAGTACAGTGGCTCATGCCTGAAATCCCAGCACTTCGGGAGGCTGAGGCAGGAGGATGGCTTGAACCCAGGAGTTTGAGACCAGCTTGGGCAACACAATGAGTCCCTGTCTATAAAAAAACTTAAAAAAATTATCTGGGTGTGGTGGCACACTGCCTGTAGTCCCAGCTACTCTGGAGGCTGAGGTGGGAGGATCACTTGAGCTTGGGAGGTCGAGGCTGCAGGGAACTAAAATCATGACACTGTATTCCAGTTTGGGTGACAGAGCAAGACCCTGTCTCAAAAACAACAGCACCACCACAATTTTTATAAAATAGTTAATGACACTTGCTAAGGTGGCAGTAGACCTGAAGCTAGATGTTCAAACAATCCCAGTTTTGGAGTGAAAAAGTGAAAGGGAAAGGACAGAGAATTAAACCAAATTACACTAAAATCTCCAAGTCTGTAGTAAAAAAGAATTGTAGCAGGTTTAGTCACTGAAAATGGTTTTTAAAACATATTTTAATGAAAACACTTTCTCACTATCTTTAAATAAAAACAATTTGGATTTTACAATTCGAAGCTGCTCTAGGCCTCATCTGCTTTCTGCTCCACAGGTTTCAGATGCCACTGCACTACTAATTCCCCAGTGCTTTTGAGGCACGTGTTAGACATGTTCTCCTCTGTTGGAAGTCCTTGTGGCAACTTCAAGGGCTTGATTCTGTGACACAAGAAAATGTGTTTAGATAGGAAGAATAAGTTCTGGTGTTCTATACCCTGCAAGATAACTACAGTTAACAATAACACATAGTTTCAAAGAGCTAGAAGGAGGACATTGAATGCTCCCAACACGAAGAAATGATCAATGTCTGAGACCACTGATATGCCAATTACCCTGATTGGATCACCGTACTTTATTATATATTGAAACGTCACTATGCACCCCATAAATATGTAAGATTATTACCTGTCAATTAAAAAAACAAAATTTTAGTTTTTAAAAAAGTTTTTGGCCGGGAATCTCAGCACTTTGGGAGGCCGAGGTGGGCAGATCATCTGATGTCAGGAGTTCGAGACCAGTCTGACCAACATGGTGAAACCCTGTCTGTACTAAAAATATAAAAAATTAGCTGGGCACGGTGGCAGAGGCCTGTAATCCCAGCTAGTCGGGAGGCTGAGGCAGGAGAATCACTTGAACCCAGGAGGCAGAGGCTGCAGTGAGCTGAGATCACACCACTGCACTCCAGCCTTGGCAACAAAGCAACACTCTGTCTCAAAAAAAAAAAAAAAAAGAATTACACTAGGCAATACATTTTAAAAACAGCTAAGAAGAAACAACAAACCTTATCAAATGCTTAACCACTTTCAATTTTGCATTCACTGAAGGGATATTCTTGTGAACCTGAGGGGTATGTGCCTGTGAACAACAACAACAAATCAATGTTATAAATCAATCTGAAAAGCAGATAGCTCCATGTTTCAGTAAAATGTTAAATTGAAGGCTCATTCTAAGTCAAATTTATAAATATGTTACTCTAAGTAATATACAAGAAATAATATCTTAAAGTTTTAAAAGTATAAAATTTAAAGCAAATATAAACAACATTAAAGATTATTAAAATAATTGCATACTTTTTCTAATTTAAGCATCTTTATTACATCTTTTTCCCAATATGGACGTCTTTTTGTACTTTTTATTCTGGTAACAATATGCAGTTTGTGAGGGTTCTGTGGATCCCCACCATATTTTTCATGATCTTCAGGTGAGGCCTGAAACACCTAGACAGGAAGAATTATAAATGGTGAATTGTCAACTTACACAGTTTCTATGTACCTCCCATTTTTTCTTAAAAGATGCATACACATACACAACTACATAATTATCTCATCCTTAATCATTATGTAATCCTCAACCTCAAATAGAACATTTCTATCAGTCTGATTACTCAAATAGATGGAGTTTAACCTGTAGAACAAAGCAGGAGCAAACAGATGACATTAAATAATGTAAACGCCAGGAGAATCTGTAAGCAGCTGTGAGCTGGGCACTGGGCTACATCCTCTTCCCTCCCTATTCTCAGGTGAAGGGCTGACTGTCAAATTGGAGAACAAACATGTAAGTTAAAAATGAAAATAAAACGTAAGTATTATAAAAACAATCTACAAAGTATTATGAGAATACAAATGACTAATGAACTGACTATGATGTATCAGAAATAGTGCCACAGAGCTAATATTTGAATTAATTATCTAAGAATCAAAAGGTTCTAAGAAGCTATCTCACAGAAACACTCCTCTAAGTATACAAAATGTACCAAATAAGAATGTGTATTGTAACACTATTTGTAATACTCAAAAATTTAAAGGCAACCCATGCTCCTCACTAGGGTAACTACATTATGGTGCCTCCATTCTAAATAAAATGATTAATAAAACTAAGTGAAATGATGCAAATACACAAATTCTTTTTTTTTTTTGAGACAGAGTCTGACTCTGTGGCACAGGCTGGAGTTCAATGGTGCAATCTCGGCTCACTGCAACCTCTGCTTCTCAGGTTCAAGTGATTCTCCTGCTTCAGCCTCCCAAGTAGCTGGGATTACAGGCACATGCCACCATGCCCAGCTAATTTTTGTATTTTTAGTACAGACAGGATTTCACCATGTTGGCCAGGGTCTCAAACTACTGACCTCAAGTGATCCACCTGCCTCGGCCTCCCAAAGTGCTGGGAGTACAGGCATTAGCCACCACACCTGCTGCAAATACACAAATTCTAATATATCCTATAGGATACAATATTACCATTAAAATGAATGAGGTTTTATTATCTTTGCAGGTCCTCACATTGAATGATGGCCATAATATATTCTTAGGCAAAAAACGAAAAGAAATGTCCACATGATTATGTGTTGTAAGATGTTATGTGCATCTGTACAAAATGTGAGTGTGCATATGTAATATATTCTATAAATACTGTTTCTAAGACTCATATACATATAAAGGTCTCAAAGACGTTAGATCAAAAGTCATACTTCTGAGGAATCAGATTGAGAAAAAAAATAGACCCCCCAAAAGATGGTATTTTTAATAAAAAAGAATATTATTCAAAGATTAAAAATAGTATTGTAGAAATGTATACAGTGTAAAGTATTCCTATTTCTCCACAGCCTCATCAGCATCTATCGTTTCTTGACTTTTTAATAATCACCATTCTGACTGGCATGAGATGGTATCTGATTGTGGTTTTGATTTTCATTTCTCTAATGATCAGTGATGATGAGCTATTTTTCATGTTTGTTGGCCACATAAATGTCTTCTTTTGAGAAGTGTCTGTTCATATCCTTTGCTCACTTTCTGATAGGGTTGTTTTTTTCTTGTAAATTTGTTTAAGTTCCTTGTAGATTCTGGATATTAGCCCTTTGTCGGATGAGTAGTCTGCAAAATTTTTCTCCCAATCTGTAGGTTGTCTGTTCACTCTGATGCTAGTTTCTTTTGCTGTGCAGAAGCTCTTTAGTTTAAGCAGATCCCATTTGTCATTTTTGGCTTTTGTTGCAATTGCTTTTGGTGTTTTAGTCATGAAGTCTTTGCCCATGCCTATGTCCTGAACAGTATTGCCTAAGTTTTCTTCTAAGGTTTTTATGGTTTTACACTGTTGGTGGGAATGTAAATTAGTTTAGCTTGTTTATATTTTTCTAGGGATTTTGAAGAGATTAGGATGAGAAAGATGGTGGAGATCGGAGGAATGGGTAGGTGCATTAAAGAATGGTGAGACTATTTAAAGGAACAATATGAAAGAACACAAAATATTTTGGAAAAGCAAGTGGTTCAGGGTGGCTAATATAGAAAAAAGCATGAAAAGTCATGGGGGAATCAAGTTAAACTATTCACAACTATGGTGAGCCTTTACAATGACTTGAAAAATAAAAAGATTTCATTAGTTTGTTTTGAGACAGGGTCTCACAGTGTTGCCCAGTCTGAAGTGCACCAATGCCACCATGGCTCACTACAGCCTTGACCTCTTGGGCTAAAGTGATCCTCTCATCTCAGACCCCCGAGTAGTTGGGACCACAGGCATGCACCACCACACCTAGCTAATCTTTAAATTTTTTTTGTAGATATGGAGTCATACTATGCTGCCCAGGCTGGTCCTGAATTCATGGGCTCAAAGGATCCTCCAGCCCCAGCCTCCTAAAGTGCTAGCAATACAGGCATGAGCCATTGTAACTGGATGAGATTTCTTATAAAAGAACACTAACCACATTAAAGGTATCAAAGTAGTCAATGGTAATACTGTTTTATCTTTTAAGAAAATCAGTGGAGAATGACAGTCCCCAAGAGCTAGGGAGAGGGGAAAATGGGGATCTTGCTCTGCTGCCCAGGCTGGAGTGCAGTGGCACAATTATAGGTCACTGCAGCTTTAACCATCTGACATTAAGTAGTCCCCCCGACTCAGCCTCCTGAGTAGCTAGGACTACAGGTGTGTACCACAACACCCACCTAATTTTTTTTTTTAGACTGGGTCTCCCTATGTTCTCTAAGTTGGCAATTATTATTTAGTGGATATAGAGTTTCAGTTTTGCAAGATGAAAGTTCTGGAGATGGCTGGTCGTGATGACAGTTGCACAGCAATGTCAATGTACTTAATGCCACTGAATAGTACACTTCAAAGTGGTTAAGATGGAATCCTAATATTTTTTATTTGTGGTAAAATACCACAAATAAAAAATATTAGGTTAGCCCTGCCCAAAACAAATAAACAAAAAACCCAGGCTTTACAAAGCTAAACATAGTCTTTACCATACAATCCAGCAATTGTGCTCTTAGGTATTTACCTATGAGTTGGAAATTTATATTCACACAAAAATCTATACATGAATGTTTATAGAAGCTTTGTTCATTACTGCCCCAAACTGGAAGCAATCAAGATGTTTTTCCATAGGTGAATGCAGAAATAAACTGTATGCCTGTACAATGAGATTTTATTGAGCAATAAAAATAAGCTAGCAAGCCACGAAAAGACATGAAGGAACCTCATAGGTATATTGCTAAGAGAAAGAAGCCAGTTTGAAAGGGCTATATATCATATGATTTCTGGAAAAGGAAAACTATAGAGACAGTAAAAAGATCGGTGGTGCCCAGAAGCTTGGAGGTAGGAGGATAAATAGGTGAAGCACAGGTGATACTTAGGGCAGTGAAACTATTCTGTATAATACTGTAAGAGTGGATACATGACATTATCCATTTGTCAAAACCTACAGAATTTCACAACATGAAGAGTGAAAGTTAGTGTAAACTATGGTTTTTAGTTAATAATAATGTGCCCTGTTGGTTCATCAGTTGTGGGAGACACTGTGTATGTTGGGAGGAAGGAGCATATAGGAACTTTCTATACTTCAGAATCAATGTTTCTGCAAACCTAAACTGCTCGAAGAAATAAAGTCTATTAATTAAAAAACAAACAAAAATAGACTGGGTGCCTGTAATCCTAGTACTTTGGGAGGCCAAGCTGGGTGGATCACTTGAGACCAGGAATTTAAGACTAGTCTGGACAACATGATGAAATCTCATCTCTACTAAAAATAAAAAAATTAGCCAGGTGTGGTGGCACGGGCCTGTCATCCCAGCTACTCAGGAGGCTGAGGCACAATAATTGTTTGAACCCGGGAGATGGAGGTTGCAGTGAGCTGAAATTGCACCACTGCACTCCAGTCTGGGCAACAAAGCGAGACTCTCTTTAAAAAAAAATTTTAAACAAAAGTCAATGGAGGGCTTAGTATTATCTAAAAGAACGATAGGTACACATAAATCAAACAGAGAAAACTGAAAGACCCAAAGTAGCAATGATTAATACAGAAAGTGAAAATGAAGACTGACATAGTGAGAGCCTGAGTAGGAAGACCCACTGTTTTCTCAGGACAATGGTGAGGTACAAACACACATATACAAACCATAAGCAGTAATAAAGATAGAAATAATAAAAGCCCACTACTGTGAAGGCCAGTGACACAAGTGACAGAACAATTTTATTTTTAATAATCACCATTTACATAAATCCCACTATGCTTTAAACTGTACCACCACCTACATCCACATATAATTTAACGTTAACATCTTTCAATATTATGAAAATAGGTACCACTTAAAACATATTTTTTTAAAACAATGCTAACATTAAAAACAAAAATCTCTGTTCTTACTTTATCTGGAATTCTTGATTTGGTGAATTTGTGACGAATCCAATCTGTACAAATAAGAGACTCCACACCTTTTGTCACGGTCTAAAATATGATATAAATCATTTGCTTTTTAAGAATTCTGTCTAGTACAGAAATCCATACCCACCAATCTTTAAGGAGCAGAAATCAGTTCCAACCTACCCTATAATTATTAAAGGTATATCGTAGCTCCCTAGCTGAGTGAATGCATCCCATCTAAGCACTAACATAATATAAAGCTAAAGGCATATAAATTTAGACTTTTAGACCATGAATTGGTAACTGTTTTCTGTAAAGGACCAGATAGTAAATATTTCCAGCTCTAAAGCTATGTAGTCTCCATTGCCAAAACTCAGCTTCGCCATTATAGGGTAAAAGCAGTCAGACAATATGCAAACAGGTGTGGCTATTTTTCTTTTTTTTTTTTTTGAGACAGAGTCTCACTCCATCACCAGGTGCCAGGCTGGAATGCAGTGGCACAATCTCGGCTCACTGCAACCTCCGCCTCCTGGGTTCAAGCAATTCTCCTGCCTCAGTCTCCCGAATAGCTGGGATTACAGGCGTGCACCACCACGCCCAGCTAATTTTTGTATTATTAGTAGAGATGAGGTTTCACCCTGTTAGCCAGGATGGTCTTGATCTCTTGACCTCGTGATCAGCCACCTCGGCCTCCCAAAGTGCTGGGATTACAGGCATGAGTCACCGCGCCCAGCCGGTGTGGCTATTTTTCAGTAAAATTATATTTACAAAAAATAGGTGGCAGGCTGAATTTGGCCTAGAGGCCACAGTTTATCAACTCTTGCTCTAGACAATGTGCAATAATTCACATTTAACAAGACAATATAAAAGAAATCCAAAATGAGTTTCTAGTTTCCTTTCTAGTCCTAACGTCATCACTCCCAGTTCCCATCGCTTGTTCCTGCTCTACATTCCTCCAGTCCCATTTCTCTCAGGTTACTGAAGAAAAAGGATTCACTGCCAACCTTTCATACCAGGATACTGTTCTAGGAATGGGTAAGTCATTCCCCTCATTCCCTCCCAGCCTTTCCTGCATTGCAGAGATGGCATAAACCGCTAGAAGAGAAGCACTGGGCTTAGTTCAGCTGTCTACTAGCTGTGAGACATGAGACACTTACCCTCTCAGAGGGTCAGTTTCCTCAACTCTAAAAAGTAATAATATTGACCTCACAGGATTAATCTAAGGTTAAGGTAATATATATAAAGCCCCTTCCATTACTGTCATCTGTATAGCCAGGAGCAGATCTATAGGCACATCTAGGCTCTGGCCTTTATGAGTAGATTAGACTGCACCAGTGCCCTTTTTAAAAGCAAGTGTAGAAGGAGATACATGAAAGTACTAACACTGATGGTCTCTTAGAGATTATTTATCTTCCTTCTGATTTTCTACAATTTTCTAACATTTTCTTATTGAAAATGCATTCCTTCCATAATCGAAGGGAAAAAAAACAAAACTTTAAGACAGACCAAGGGGAATCAATGACAGCCATTTTTTATTGGCAGGTTTTCCAGAAAAAGATCTTTTTTGATTCTAGATCTTCAAGGATAAAACAGCAGATAAACCATAAATAAGCAAGATTTACTTCCAAAATGTCAAAAATTTCAAAAAGGAACTGGTAGAAGTTAACTTGCCTATATGTTTTGTAATGACAAAGAAAAAAATTCATAAGGGGTAGAAAAAAAAGAAGTCATGAAGAGAAATACTTACCTGTAGTCTGCCTGGGGGCCTCTGAGCAACTAAGCGCAAAATCCCAGCCATAAGTGTAGTGATTGCTCTCTTTAGAGGCTATAAGAAATAAGAAGCAGACCCATCAGTCTTGGAAATAAACAGGTTTCCCCTTCTCTAGTATTAAAAAGCTAAGCAGCAAATTAATTGTAAATGTGACTGAAGTTTAACAGTAAATTAATAATGCCCTTATTTTAATAAGGGCAAGAATTGATTTAGAAATGTTTTATTCGACCACAGGTCGTAATTATACACAACATTAACCACATCCCATTTTCATCAAATGAGTCAGACCTAGATTGATTCCACAAAACCAGGAAATGAGAGTTTACTATCATTTAAAGTGTCTTCTTCAACAATGAAGGCAGATAAAGAATACTTTGTCATAGAATCACAGAAAATTAAAGACCTAGAAAGGACTGAAGAAATTCCAACTCCTATAATTAGGACTGCCCATACCCTTACTTTATGAATGAGGATCATGAATTCCAGAAAGTTCAATAATTTACCCAAGAGCAACCAGTTATCAATAGAGTAAGTAGTCTAGAATCCCATTCTCCTAATTCCTAGGCAAGTGCATTTTAAAAAAATAGAACTTTTTTGCTTATTTATATTTTTTTAACTATTCTCAATGCACATGCATTGCATCTAAAACCTAGAAAAGTCATATTTATTTAATTAGACACGAAAAAACTATAGCCTTCTATACTGACTTATACTGAAAGCAGAAAGATTAAGTTCATGAACTACATGTATATCTCGGACAGGTTAATTAATTTGTGTTACAACTTTTCCCTCAGAAAAGAAAGAAAATACCTGTCTTGCAACTAAGTTATTCTATAAAACACCTAAAACAGTTCCTGGTATGTGGGAAGCCCTCAATGAATGGCAACTTTATTATTAAATTATTACAAAGCTAATAAGAATACTCTTAACACTGTGGTCCCCAAACTTTTTTGGCAATGGACCAGTTTTGTGGAAGACAATTTTTCCTTGAATAGGGAGGGGTGGTGGGGAAGCATTCAGGATGAAACTGTTCCACCTCAGATCATCAGGCATTAGATTCTCATAAGCAGCATGCAACCTAGATCCCTTGCATGCATAGTACACAATAGCATTCATGTTCCTATGAGAATCTAATGCTGCACTGCTCTGACAAGAGGGGGAGCTCAGGTGGTAATGCTCACTCAACCTCAGCTTGCTGGCTGCTGTGCCACCTGGTTCCTAAGGGGCCACCAACTGGTCTGGGTGTGAGGCCTGGGGGTTTGGAGACTTCTGCTCTAACACATTAAAGTAGGTTAAGTGTTGTAATTCAGTGTTCCACAGATTCTAGCTCATTCAAGTTCTGCAAGTCTTTCCTGTGATGTGGAAAAGCAATGGGAACTCTGAGAATCAATGCAAGATGTTTTCTGTAAAGAGCCAGACCTCAGAAACATTCCTCAGCAACTGAACCTATCTAATGCTAAATTATTTTGCCATATTTCCTCCTCTCAAGGTTAGCATTACGTATTAATCCAACTTATTTAGCTTCACACTCTAAAAAATCTCTTATCACTTAGGTCTCAACAAAATCCTAACGACTTCTGCTTTTATCCCAATTCCCTGAATATCTCTTTTGTGTATCAGCAATAAATCTTCTTATTAAATCTCAGATTATCTCATTCTACTCAAAAATATTCCAGAGAGCCAGGATTCTCGCTGTTGAAGTGGGAGGTTACACATAAGCAAAAGGGAAAGCCTACAGCGATCCTTATACACTAGATTGGCATTGGAACTCTTGTTTAGCTTAATATAGATATTGAGGGGTATAGAAATAATTATAGATATGCATGTATACATGGGCTAACTCTGTTAGCTGAGAGGATGTAAAGCAATAGCAGTTAGTGGCAATGAGCATACCCAGAGCCAGATCTGTAATCTGGCTCAAATCTCACCTTTTGAATGAGGTTTACCCAGCTCACTTCATTGAACATTTTCACCCACACCACAACTGTCAACACTCCTAACTCCACCTTACTTTTCTTTCTATTGTGTTATCTTCTAACCTAACTTAATTATCTGTTAGGTTTGTTGTTTAGTGCATGTCCGTTCAATAGCATGCTAATTCCATAGGACAAGTGTTTTTAGATCCCGTCGTTTTTGGTCTGTTATATTCACAGAAGTAACCCAAGCATCGTTGTCTACCCTATAGTCGCCACATAATATATTTTTGCAGAATAACAGAAGTTTAAATATTGACAAACTTTAGAAGGTGTGACAATCAAAAGTTACAAGTTTTTAGAGACAGAGTCTCACTATATTCCTGGTATTGAACTCTTAGCCTCAAGCAATCCTCAATTTTCCCAGTAATTAGAGCTAGGTGTGTGTCACCACGTTTGACTCAAGGAATACGTTTTAATAAAGTAAAAGTTATTATTAATTAGGCACCTGACTCTTAGACATTGAAGCAATTAGTGTCTCCTACTGTAAAAATAGGAAAATATCAGGCATCACATGAGAAGTATGATCCCATTTCTATTTTTTTAAATGTTTGCGAATGTGTGTATTCACAGAAAAACTCTGGAAGGTCGTCAGAATAAAATTAACTCACCCCTGGGGTTATGAAAAAAGGAGTTTTTCCTCTCCCCCTCCACCGACAGGTAGTTCTTTTTGTCTTTTTACAATGACCATGCATGCAACAGGAATGCTAAAAAGCGATTTCTTTCTCTAAACTGACAATGTATGTAATTATTAAAGGGGGAAAAACACTTCTGAAATGCAAAACATAGAATCACTCTTGCAGAGACACCAGAAATCTCTGAAGGCTGGAAGCGTGTCTCTTCTCTGAACTAGTCCCTAACAAGTAGTAGGCAGTCCTCATTACTGCCTCTTGGCCAAAAGGGTAGAACAAATAGCTTTCGGTAGGTCTCCATCAAAATGGTAACAAATCAGTTTTTAATAAAATGGCAACTATTCTGCCAACTCTGGAATGTTTGCATTATAAAATGAAGCAATACAAAAATAGAAAGGCAATTTTCTGTCTTCATTAAAAAAGGAAAAGTAATCCTAATTTCCAGTGGCAACCCTAAGTTATGAATAAAGCAGAAGCACAGAAAAATGCTGCTTGGGTTCCCTTTCCCAAGCTGTCCAGCCTCGGCGGCTCAGTCCTTGAGCTCCAAGAATCTAGGCACAAGAAGCCGCGTGGCCCTGGATTCTGCGAATTGGGAAACAGCATACTGCAGACCAATGGCCTTTCGGGAGCCAATGTGACGGGATCAGGCGCAGACCCATTTAGGTCGCCGTAACCTGCCAATTCAGAACGCAATAGGGAAAATCAATTAGGATCTGCAGAGGGTTCCTGGATACATACACCTGGCGAAGAATGCAGTACTTTCGGCCACTCATTCCCCACTCACCAGCACCTACTAAACGTTCAGCCCTGAAGTTTTCCACCAAAGGGAAGTAGAGCAGAGGAAGAACTACCAAGTGCTACACCCAAAGCCTGCCGTTGCAGTCAGCGCACCTGCAAACCAGAGCAATTTTGTTCCGGCGAAATCCCTCCCTCTCAGGAAACGCCCTAGAAAGAGAGCGCAGGCGCGTGGGTGTCACATGACCACTTCCCGGAAGCGCAACAGACCCGCCTAACTTCAGCCTGGGTGGAGGAGAAGAGTCACTGGAATTATGGCGAAGTCCGGGCTGGGGCAGGATCCGGAGAGCACAGCTGCAGTCACTGTGCTAAAGCGGGCGGTGGAACTAGATTCCGAGTCGCGGTATCCGCAGGCTCTGTTGTGTTACCAAGAGGGGATTGATCTGCTCCTGCAGGTTCTGAAAGGTGAGCAATGAGGCAAGGCGGGGAGGACCTGAGGAAAAGGAGCTGGTTCCTGCTGTGTCTGGGAAGTGAATGAGTTAAAAACAATTCTTCCGGGGCCGGGCGCGGTGGCTGACTCCTGTAATCCCAGCACTTTGGGAGGCCGAGGCGGGTGGATCACGAGGTCAAGAGATCGAGACCATCCTGGTCAACATGGTGAAATCCCGTCTCTACTAAAAATACAGAAAATTAGTTGGGCATGGTGGCGCGTGCCTGTAATCCCAGCTACTCAGGAGGCTGAGGCAGGAGAATTGCCTGAACCCAGGAGGCGGAGGTTGCGGTGAGCCAAGACCGCGCCATTGCACTCCAGCCTGGGTAACAAGAGCGAAACTCCATCTCAAAAAACAAAACAAAAACAAAACAAAACAAAACAAAACCAATTCTTCCACACCACAAAGGAGCTGTTAAATGCAGAAGGTGGGATATTCTACAGGATAACTCCGTCTCTTTCTTTTTATGTGCATACATATATATAATATATGTATGCACATAAAAAGGTACATGCATGGCAATGTGATTTGCTGCCTCCATCCCCATCACCTATATCTGGCATTTCTCCCCATGTTATCCCTCCCCAACTCCCTATCTGCCCCACTGTCCCTCCTGTAGTCCCCCCAACAGACCCCAGTGTGTGATGCTCCCCCTCCCTGTGTCCATGTGTTCTCATTGTTCAACACCCACCTATGAGTGAGGACATGCAGTGTTTGATTTTGTGTTCTTGTGTCAGTTTGCTGAGAATGATGGTTTCCAGATTCATCCATGTCCCTACAAAGGACATGAACTCATCATTCTTTATGGCTGTGTAGTATTCCATGGTGTATATGTGCCACATTTTCCCTGTCCAGTCTATAATCAGTGGGCATTTGGGTTGGTTCCAGGTCTTTGCTATTGTAAACAGTGCTTCAATGAACATATGTGTGCATGTGTCTTTATAACAGAACAATTTATAATCCTTTGGATATACACCCAGTAATGGGATTGCTGGGTCAAATGGTATTTCTATATCTAGATCCTTGAGGAATTGCCACACTGTCTTCCACAATGTTTGAACTAATTTACACTCCCACCAACAATGTAAAAGTGTTCCTATTTCTCCACATTCTCTCCAGCATCTGTTGTCTCCAGATTTTTTAATGATTGCCATTCTAACTGGTGTGAGATGGTATCTCAATGTGGTTTTGATTAGCATTTCTCTAATGACCAGTGATGATGATCATTTCTTCATGTGTTTGTTGGCCTCATGTATGTCTTCTTTTGAAAAATGTCTGTTCATATCCTTCACCCACTTTTGAATGGGTTTGTTTTTTTCTTGTAAATGTGTTTTAGTTCTTTGTAGATTCTGGATATCAGCCCTTTGTCAGATGGGTAGATTGCAAAAATTTTTTCCCATTCTGTTGGTTGCCACTTCACTCTAATGATTGTTTCTTTTGCTGTGCTGAAGCTCTGGAGTTTAATTAGACCCCATTTGTCTGTTTTGATTTTTGTTGCCAATGCTTTTGGTGTTTTAGTCATGAAGTCCTTGCTTATGCTTATGTCCTGAATGGTTTTACCTAGATTATCTTCTAGGGTTTTTATGATGTTAGGTCTTATGCTTAAGTCTTTAATCCATCTGGAGTTAATTTTAGTATAAGGTGTCAGGAAGGGGTCCAGTTTCTCCTTTCTGCACATGGCTAGCCAGTTTTCCCAACACCATTTATTAAACAGGGAATCCTTTCCCCATTGCTTGTTTTTGTTAGGTTTGTCAAAGACCAGTTGGTTGTAGATGTGTGGTTTTGCTTCCAAGGCCTCTGTTCTGTTCCATTGGTCTATATGTCTGTTTTGGTACCAGTACCATGCTGTTTTGATTACTGTACCCTTGTAGTATAGTTTGAAGTCAGATAGTGTGATGCCTCCATCTTTTTGCTTAGAACTGACTTGGCTATGCAGGCTCTCTTTTGGTTCCATATGAAGTTTAACATGGCTTTTTCCAGTTCTGTGAAGAGGGTCATAGGTAGCTTGATGGAGATGCTGCTGAATCTATAAATAACTTTGGGCAGTATGGCCATTTTCACAATATTGATTCTTCATAACCAAGAGCATGGAATGTTTTCCCGTCTGTTTGTGTCCTCTCTTATTTCCTTGAGCAGTGGTTTGTGGTTCTCCTTAAAAAGGACCTTTACATCCTTTGTTAGTTGTATTCCTAGGTATTTTATTCTCTTTGTAGCAATTGTGAATGGCAGTTCGTTCTTGATTTGGCTCTCTTTAAGTCTGTTACTGGTGTATAGGAATGCTTGTGATTTCTGCACATTGATTTTGTATCCTGAGACTTCACTGAAGTTTCTTATCACTTTCAGGGGATTTTGGGCTGAGAAGATGGGGTCTTCTAAATATGCAATCATGTTGTCTGCAAATAGAGACAATTTGACTTCCTCCTTTCCTAATTGAATACGCTTTATTTCTTTTTCTTGCCTGTTTGTTCTGGCTAGAACTTCCAATACTATATTGAATAGGAGTGGTGAGGGAGGGCATTCTTTTCTAGTGCCAGATTTCAAAGGGCACTTCCAGTTTTTGCCCATTCAGTATGATATTGGCTGTGGGTTTGTCATAAATAGCTTTTATTATTTTGAGATATGTTTTATCAATACCTAGTTTTTTGAGAGTTTTTAGCATAAAGCGCTGTTGAATTTTGCCGAAGGCCTTTTCTGCATCCACCGAGATAATTGTGGTTTTTGTCTAACCAAAGACAAAGAACCAACTGTTTATGTGGTGAATTGCGTTTATAGACTTGCGTATGTTGAACCAGCCTTGCATCTCCGGGATGAAGCCTACTTGATCATGGTGGATAAGCTTTTTGATGTGCTGTTGCAATTGGCTTGCCAGTTTTTATTGAAGATTTTTGCGTCTCTGTTCATCATGGATATTGGCCTGAAGTTTTCTTTTCTTACTGAGTCTCTGCCAGGTTTTGGCATCAGGATGATGTTGGTCTCATAAAATGATTTGGGAAGGATTCCCTCTTTTTGGATTGTTTGGAATAGTTTCAGAAGGAGTGGTATCAGCTCTTCTTTGTATGTCTGGTAGAATTCGGCTGTGAACCCATCTGGTCCTGGGGTTTTTTTTGGTTGGTAGGCTATTAATTGCTGCCTCAACATCAGCCCTTGTTATTGGTCTATTTAGGGTTTCAACTTCTTCCTGGTTTAGACTTGGGAGGGTGCAAGTGACCAGGAATTTATCCATTTCTTCCAGGTTTACTGGTTTATGTGCATAGAATTGTTTGTATTATCTCTGAGGGTAGTTTGTATTTCTGTGGAATTGATAGTGATATCCCCTTTATCATTTTTTATTGCATCTACTTGATTCTTCTCTCTTTTCTATTAATCTCGCTAGTGGTCTATTTTGTTGATCTTTTCATAAAGCCAGCTCCTGGATTTATTAATTTTTTAAGGGTTTTTTGTATCTCTTCTTTCTCTCTTTCGGTTCTGCTCTGATTTTACTTATTTCTTGTTTTCTGTTAGCTTTTGAGTCTTTTTGATCTTGCTCCTATAGCTCTTTCAATTTTGATGATAGTGTGTCAATTTTAGATATTTTCTTTCTTTTTTTGTGGGCATTTATTGCTAGAAATTTTCCTCTAGACACTGCTTTAAATGTGTCCCATAGATTCTGGTGCATTATGTCTTCGTTCTTGTTGGTTTCGAAGAACATCTTTATTTCTGCCTTCATTTCATTGTTTATCCAGTCAGCATTCAAGAGCCAGTATTCAGTTTCCATGAAGTTGTGCAGTTCTGAGTTAGTTTCTTAATCTGGAGTTCTAATCTGATTGCACTCTGGTCTGAGAGACTGTTATGATTTCTGTTCTTTTGCATTTGCTGAGGAGTGATTTACTTCCAATTATGTGGTCAGTTTTAGAGTAGGTGTGATGTGGTGCTGAGAAGCATGTATATTCTGTGGAGTTGGGGTGGAGAGTTCTGTAAATTTCTATTAGGTCTGCTTAGTTCAGATCTGAGTTCAAGTCCTGGATATCCTTGTTAATTTTCTGTCTCCTCAATCTGTCTAATATCGACAGTGGAGTGTTAAAGTCTCCCACTATTATTGTGTGGGAGTCTAAGTCTCTTTGTAGGTCGTTAAGAGCTTGCTTTATGTATCTGGGTGCTCCTGTATTGGGTGCATTTATATTTAGGATCCATAGCTCTTCTTGTTGCATTGATCCTCTTACCATTATGTAATGCCCTTCTGTGTTTCTTTTGATCTTTGTTGGTTTAAAGTCTATTTTATCAGAGACTAGGAATGCAACTCCAGCTCTTTGTTGTTCTCCATTTCCTTGGTAAATCTTCTTCCATCTCTTTATTTTGAGTCTATCCTTGCATGTGAGATGGGTTTCCCGGATACAGCACACCGATGGGTTTTGACTTTTTATCCAATTTCCCCGTGTGTGTCTTTTGATTGGGGCATTCCTTCCATTTGCATTTAAGGTTAATATTGTTATGTGTGAATTTGATACTGCCATTTTGATGCCAGCTGGTTGTTTTGCCTGTTAATTGACGCAGTTTCTTGATTGTGTCGATGCTGTTTACCATTTGGTACGTTTTTGGAGTGGCTGGTGCTGGTCGTTCCTTTCTGTTTAGTGGTTCTTTCAGGAGCTCTTGTAAGGCAGGCCTGGTGGTGATGAACTCTCTGAGTAATAGCTTGTTTGTAAAGGATTTTATTTCTCCTTCAGTTATGAAGCTTAGTTTGGCTGGATATGCAATTCTAGGTTGCAAGTTCTTTTCTTTAAGGATGTTGAATATTGGCCCCCACTCTCCTGGCTTGCAGGGTTTCTACTGACTGATCTGCTGTGAGTCTGATGGGCTTCCCTTTGTGGGTAATCCAGCCTTTCTGTCTGGCTGCCCTTAGCATTTTTTCCTTCATTTCAACCCTGGTAAATCTGACACTTATGTGCCTTAGGGTTGCTCTTCTTGAGGAATATCTCTGTGGTGTTCTCTGTATTTCCT